CCTGAGTATGAGCATACTCCAAGTGGTAGAGAACAACAACATTTAAAGTTGGATTTTTGTTGAAATTTATGAATTTTGAGATATTTATTTAAGAATTAATTTTGTGTTATTGACTAGATTTAATTTTGTGCAGCATTTGATTTCCATTTGAAATGTAGTGAGTGTTATGAGGTTTTTACCCTCTCATATACATTCCCAATTTAAACGGTGAAAATGATTGATTCTTTTAATAGTTCACAGTAAAAAATCAAAATACGTCAATTTAACAGATAAAACAATGTCTTGCCTTTACAATTAAAATGTTTCTGAAGAAGTTTATAATTCAAATTCAAGATGGATCAGACATATCAAATTGAAAATTCAATTGAAAAATAATAATAATAACATGCGATCTCAATTTATAAAATAAATAGTTCCATTATGCCATCTCAAATTATTTAATTATATTTTATTTACAAATATCACAGGAAATCTAATCAACCCACCTGAAATAATTGGCTTTCAATATTCCAAATACCGGATCTAACTTGAAAAATTATTAAAATAACCTTAATACATTAGTTTAAAATGGTAACCTCAAATTATTTTCCGATTTATTAGTCTCATGAAAAAATGATATAACAATTAAAAAAATTTATATAATATATCCTACATGGTTAGGTTTAGTGATAATATTTTAAGAATCGACAAGTTATTAATTTTTTTTAATGTCAACTAATTTGAAGGATCAAATAGAAATATACATGATCCAAAATCTATAAACGTAGTTGAAACTTCTTCAAAGTTCAAAGAATAATAGGCGAAATGTTTACTTATACCAAACTCAAATTTATAATTTAACTACTTTGACATTAAAACCACAAAAACAAAATTAAATTATATAGCAATAGGGGTAGAAAAATAGTGAAATTTATACTTGTTCATGGAATTATATATAATTTTTATGAGATAATAACATGACATAATTATACAAAATGTTTTTAATTTTTTTGAATTAAAGCATAACTAATTCAATTGTAGTGGATGTTGATTCCGTTGCAACCCAATTTCCACACCTAATCCAATGAGATTAAATGATTAATTTATTTTTCCTTTATTTTAATTATTTACACCGCACATTGAATTTAGATAGATGTGGGGACAATTAAAAATAAAATATAACACACTATCAAATTTGCATAAGAAAACCATTTTGACTCTTTTAACAAAGAGAAGGCACCATCAAATCAAAATCAATTATAACTAAACCATCCATCGGGAGTTTAATAAATTCTCGTCCTTAATTTTACCAATTTAACGCTTACATGATGCACTAACCAAATTATTTAAAGATCGTATGACAAGTTGATTTTAAGAAGGTAATGACATAAAAATTGAATGATAAGATTAACTTATTAAACACAAAAACGAGAGTTCGAGGATGTATTGAAAAAAGGTATAGAGACTTGTAAATACGAAACTAAATTTAAAATTTAATGCAAAAATAAGAAAAGAGAGGGGTAAAAAGGGAAAAGTGGTGGGGTCGAAGGCAAGAAGCAAGTTGCAAGCACCGCTGTCACTGTAGTTACTTGTTAGTATGTAGTGTATATAGTACACGATCTAATTATATCATCCACATTAATTACTCTTCTCTCTTTTTTATTTTTTAATTATGAGGGCTATTTTTGTAATTTGTTACTCCGTCCAGTCCATTTTCTCGTCCCTGGCCGCCGCAGTATGACCCCTTCTCACTTCGAAATCAAAATAAATAAACAAAAAAGGACTGTTCTTCTTTATTTATTTATTATTATTATTATTATTATTGTTTTTTACATATTCAATTCTGCAAATTTATTATTTTATTCTTATAAATAAACTCACTTTTAAAATAAGGTTTCCATCTTATTATTATTATTTATTTTACTTCTTTTAGCTATAAAAATGTGTTGTGTCATCCTTACTACTACTTTTTTTAGTAACTTGCTACTAAATTTCTATATGGCGTTCGGTTAAATTTTAAGTTACATGTTAATAACTGTTGAAAATAAGTGACATTATATTTATATTAAATATAATACAAAATTTGGGATCAAACTTATGGAACTCTATATTTCGAGACCAAACATTTTTGTGTGAGAGTTTGGGTGAGTTTTATATTGAACCTATGTTTGTATCGATCTGGACAAAAACTCGTGTATTTTGATTGTGCTGCACATCTACTATGATCTCTAAATCCACTCCCTCGCATAGACTTCAAACCTTACTAAAAAAAATATATTTTTTAATGATATTAGATTATCAAAATTTAATACATTATAAATAATATTTGGATATTATACTATATTACAAATTTTGCAGGCACGATCAAGATATAACTTCAATTTAGTCTTTATGATTTTAAAATTTTCAGTTTAATTTATATGATGGGAGAATAACTTCAACTTGATTCCTAGGGTTCAAAATTTTCAATTATTTGTTATTTGTTTAGTTAAAAACCTCTCTTTGTTGTTACTATACTAACACATTTTTACTTGCAATAAGCTTGTATTTTCTATTTGGCTAATTTTATTAGTTACGTTGACTAGCTAGATCAAGGTCTAAAGTTGAGAGAAAATAAAACTTTTAAAATTACAAAAACCAAATTAAAACTATGCCGAAACTTTAGGGATCAAATTTATAATTTAACCTACATTAAACCCAACAATTTGGACTTGGGCTGAGTTGCCCTATTCTTAACCGTGTAAAACTCACCATTACTGCCATCCATGATACAAAAATAAAATTTAGAGAGGGGTAATCTGTTGGTCAATGAGTTTTCGCATATAAATCACTTTGATCAATATATTTCAAAATCGTCTATATATATATATATTTTATCCCTAAATTTTCAGAATAAATCTAAATGGTCCTTCAACTGATAGTATCATTATGTACCTTACAGAAAAGATAATGATTACACTGACGTGGCATATATGAGTTGAAATATATAATTCGTTAAGTAGATATTCACTTTACATTAGTCTTATTACGTAACGCGATCTAATCCACATGGTTACAGGTGTAGCACGATTGAATAGCTTAACAATACGATCATAAATTCTAATGCATTCATCTTGGAAGATGCATACAAAATAGCTACTCGATGCGGCTACCGTAAACGTACGAAACACAATGCTAGATCCTACAGTGGAACAGTAACTTCATCAAGTGGTAGGAGAGAGGCTAATGATTGCATTATGTAGGAGCATCTTATCTTCCATGTAGGTGCGATAGAATTTATGATTGTGTTGCTTAAGTTATCAAATCTTGCTACGCAATGGCTAATAACACTTAAGTTATGATCGTATTTCTCATTTATTAGATCCTCCGACGAGTTTAATGAGAATGGATAATATATTTCGATTTAGATATGTCACTTAAGATTCTTCCTCGTCATGCGTAGCCAAGCATTTTCATTTCGAAAACTCATACTAAAAAAAAGTGTGATTTTGTAATATGGAGACTAAAATAACCTATAGACGAAAATTGAGAGTAAAAAAAAAAATGATGTTAAAATT